AAAAAATCCTTTGCACCCTTTTTATTCTAAAAGTACTGAACGTAATGGCTGGATGGCCGAGCAGTTATGGTGGCAACCTACCGCTCTGGGAAACCCAGAATGGAATCTGGAGGAGCCGAAAAACTCCAAGATTGTGGACCTGGAGAACCCATAACAGGCTTGCTAAGATACTCCCTCTTAGTGACCACAGAGCGAAGAGGGAAAAAGTACTGAAGATATATTACAGTATTAATCTTGAATACTTTTGGAATGAAAAGGGTGCAACGGACGTTTCATTCATATTGAATAATATATACTCGTTATTTAATTTAATGCAGACAGCCATTCCAATTAGATATAAGGAAATTCATGTTGTAAATATTGGAAAATTTGGATATCTTTTTTACAATGCATTACGACCGTTTCTTCCGTATAAAATTAGAAAAAGGGTACGTATATATTTAAATCGGTTTATTGGTTTATTTGTGTAGGGCAACTCGACACGTGGGCCATCTGCCGAGAGGGATGCCTCCCAGAAAGATTTTTATGGATAACTGGCCCTATAAAGGTGTCGCTAACGTGAAGAAAACACGGAAAACTCCTCTTAACCAGCGCATTGGCAAGGGGCGATCCCATATTATATTATATTAATATTTATTTTTATATTTTTGGACTCAGGATACCTTGAAACTTCGAGAAATGCAAAATAACATTCGGGGTTTTTTTCTGTATATAGGGATGTTAATGTGTTTAGAGGTCGCGATTTTGTTCACTCTCTTTGAAGCTTAATAACTCCTGTTCTTTCAGTCGAAAATTTCTGAAATTTTGAATGGAGTTTTACTTATTAGACGANATCCTTCGAACGTACACATGAAAGACGTTTTGAAATGCCTGTTAATGTATCAAGATGCGGCAATAACAGGACATTTAATTCAAGTCAACGGTTTGGTAGTAATTTGGGATGCTAAAACATTATCGTGGAGACATATTTTACAATTAACACCAAGCACAATATTTTGCATGACTTCTCTTTTATTTGTAAGTTATTTAACATTAATTAATATTTTTTATCATAAATATAAATATCTTTTTGTACTGTATAATTACATATAGGCTGAGTCAAAAATCCCTTGCGCCCTTTTTATTCCAAAAGTACTGAACATAATCGCTGGATGGCCGAGCAGTTATGGTGGCAACCTACCGCTCTGGGGAACCCAGAATGGAATCTGGAGGAGCCGAAAAACTTCAGGATTGTGGACCTGGAAAATCCATAATAAGCTTGCTAAGAAACTCCCTCTTAGTGACCACAGAGCAAAGAGGGAAAAAGTACGGAAGATATATTACAGTATTAATCTTGAATACTTTTGGAATGAAAAGGGTGCAACGGACGTTTGATTCATCTTGAATAATATATACTCTTTATTTAATTTAACCCAGACAGCCATTCCAATCAGATATAAGGAAATTCATCTTGTAAATACTGGAAAATTTGGATATCTTTTTTACAATGCATTACGACCGTTTCTTCCGTATAAAATTAGAAAAAGGGTATGTATATATTTAAGTCGGTTTATTGCTTTATTTGTTTAGGGAAACTCGACACGTGGGCCATCTGCCGAGAGGGATGCCTCCCAGAAAGATTTTTATGGAAATCTTGCCCCTATTCAGGTGTCACTAACGTGAAGAAAACACGGAAAACTCCACTTAACCAGCCCATTGGAAAGGCGCGATCCCACGACTAACTACCACTAAATAACTTATATTAATATTTATTTTTACATTTTTGGACTCAGGAAACCTTGAAACTTTGATTCGGGTTTTTTTCTGTATATAGGGATGTTAATGTGTTTAGAGGTCGCGATTTTGTTCACTCTCTTTGAAGCTTAATAACTCCTGTTCTTTCAGTCGAAAATTTCTGAAATTTTGAAAGGAGTTTTACTTATTAGACGAATTAATGCCATTAAATTTTTGTGATTAAAGATCGAGGGTGTGGGAAGATAATAGGAGTCCTGTATTACACATCGAGTAAGGTCTGGCTTAATGACGAATTTACTCGTTATTAGCATTCACAAATATTTATAAAATCCATCCCCTCTTTCAAAATAAATGTTGCCGGCAATGTTAAGCAACTCGCTGCTAGATTTTTCAATTTATTTAATTTTAATTTTTATTAATTAACCTATACACAGTTGCTACCGTTACTTCTAAGATTATTTCAGATTTCAAATATTGTAACGAAGAATCCATTGATCTATGTATGACTTTTTAAACTAATTTCAATTATATTATTATTTAGATCCATATACATAGTTCTGAAATTGAATCTCTGCACAAATTCATCGATTCTCAATTTCTTCCCGAAGAATATAAAGGCGATTTACCTCTTCACGATCCAGCTGAGTGCATTGAAGTTATATTAAAATTCCAGGAATATTTTGAAGATAGTCAAAAATATTACAGCTGAAAAGAAAAAGAATTGAATCGTTTCAGCTAAGAATTCGTCTAATTATTGTATAAAATAATAAACTTTATCACTATCCTGGTATAATGTATGTCTAGTATTTTATGTAATTTTTCAATTTAATAAAATTGATATTTTCCATATCATACATCCGAAAATTGAATTGAAATAAGACTGATAATTGTAATTATATAATCTAAGTTAGGAATACAAACAAGACTTTAACACGTATATTTTTAATTATTTATAGTTTAAAATGATAAATAATTTCATTTTAAGATAGAGTGGAGTTAAATTGTAATTAAACATAAAATTACAGAATTAAAGCAATATTAAATTAAATGACATAAACAACATACCGATAAAACATTTTACGGTTTAATTGCATTGCTAATAAATAGAAATCAGCATGAATCTTCAACATTTTCAGTTTTATCGTACACACCTTAACACAGTATATCCATAGTAGTTTGATACAAAGCAAGTAATGACGCATTATAACTGTATGGGTCCCAAGCAAATTTGAATTAAGACGCCCCGTATACAGTGTTCACTTTAGGCATTTTCCTTCACGGGAGTTTTTTGAGGAAATACATTTACATTTATTTAAGCAATTTATAAAAATTTAAATAAAATATTATTCTAAACATTCATTCTAATTTTAACAATGCAATCGATCACAATTCGACAATAATGTGTCAAGAAACAATAACAGTGTATCTAAATAATCATATATAAATGAATTAATTAAGATTTATTAATTGAAACGTTATCAGATGAAATTATATTCAAAGGATAGATTCTTAGGTTCATATCTCAGTAAGAGCAGTATTTCTTCGTGGAAACGGTCCTCAAATTTAACAGATTCCTAAACACAGAGTAGAGAGCGCTGGACATCTGCAAATTCAAATTTATATATATAATACAATAATATATTGAATGACTATATACCTTGCATACCCTGACTGGAAACTTCTTGGTAACATCGAAAAAACCGTTGGCAGATAAACATAAAGATGCCTCCCCAAATCTTTTTATAAAATTCACAATCTGTACAAAATTTTTAAAATTATTTTATGCAAATTAAAAGCTAACGCTAACCTATTTTATAACAGAAGTTTTACTATTAATTTCTGTTCCAATTTCAAATCGCATTGAGCGAATCCTTAACTCAACTCCTTACAGGTCACGGGAATTTAAACTCCTACCTCAAGAGGTTTCTCAATAAGACTGACGGTTAGTGTAACTGCGACCTGAAGGAAGAGGAAGAACATGTGCACGTTTTCTTCCACTGCCCCCTCCACATTACTCATCGTAAGAAACTGGCAGAGGCTGTTCAGGCAAATGGGCTCAACTGGCATTGCACTCTCAAAGACTTCACTATTGATAAGAACAATTTCAAGGCCCTGAAGAAATTTGCAGCTGATATCAAGAAGCTCTACTAGATTGTTTCTTCCCTATAGTTGGTGATGGATTTTCAACTACCTATGGAACTGTGTTTATCATCTTGCATCTTTTGGTATCAGCTTAATTGGACTTAGCTACCTTTTATAGGTACGCTTTTGTGTCTACTTGTCTCCACTTATTGTATTCTCTGTGTCTATTGTCCTTACTTTTTCAGCTGTTTTGTAACCCGCGATTACATCTGACATTGTCGGTCAACTCCTACTGTTAACCTCTTTATACTGTGTAAATAATATATGTCTCTGTTCCACGTGTATTTTTGTATACTCCAAATTACTATTGTCGCGCCTACCAATCTTGTAATTATATTTCTTTGTATGTAATTCTGTAATAATCCTATTGTTATTTTGTACTGTGTTATTATTTAATAAATGCGATGCAGGCGCCCACGGGTCCCATGACCCTGGCTGCTTTTTCCCTCTATCCTATCTCACTTTACTTCTTCTTACTCTTACCCCTTCTTACACTCTCAACTCTTTCTCCTTTTCTAGTCTAAACATGGGCTATACCTCTGTGTGAGACGCTTATCTTTCTCAGCACTGTGACTCAATTGGTCTGGCCCTGTTGCTAGAAACGCAATTCGGACTGAGGGGTCGCAGAACACTCCCGCCCGTGCCAATCTCCTACGGGTTAGGTCACGTTATTTTAAGCACGACAATCCCGTAAATTTCGGCTAAATGTATTTTTCCTGTCCCGAAAAAAATGCATCCGGGTCCAGTCGGTCCCAACCACCGCCGCCGCCTCAGCTGCTGAGGGAGCATACGTAATCTCTGCTTTGAGGTGATCGCTGTACTTTCCCCGGCGATCCATCTCACGATCTAGACAATTAAATTGTATCGCACCCCGTTCCTTCGTAGCCCCGCTCCTGTTTACAATATAAGTCACCGGTTTATTTCCACCTTTCCTCCGTCAGAGGGTGAAGTCTCAGCTTCAAACAAAGTTATTACAATAAGTGAATTTCTTTACATTTAAAAATTTCTACTATTTGAAAAATTTAATATAAAATTGAAATTTTATTTAAAATATTAAAATCGATAATACATTTATATTTATTTAAGCAATTTATGAAAATTTAAGTAAAATATTGTTTGAAACATTCATTCTAATTTTAACAATGTAAATTATAACAATAGACAATAATGAGACAAGAAACGATAATAGTTTATCTAATTTATCACATATAAATGAATTAATTAAAATGTTATAAGAGGAAATTATATTCAAAAGGATAGCTTCTTGAGTTCAAATCTCAGTAAGAGCAGTTTTTCTTCTTGGAAACGGTCCTCAAATTTAAGAGACCCGAATACACGGAATGCAGAGCGCTACACATCTGCAAATTCAAATTTATATATTTTATATAATTCTAAATTTATATATTTTATTTAGAATTAATATATTGTAAAAGTTAAATGACTCGCATACCTTAATAGGAAACTTCTTGGTAACGTCGAAGAAACCGTTGATAGATAAACATAAAGACGCCTTTCCAAATCTTTTCATAAAATTCACAATCTGCAAAAAATTGTTTAAAATAATTTTATGCAAATTAAAAAGCTAAACGCTAACCTATTCTCTAACAAAAGCTTTACTTTTAATTTCTGTTCCAATTTCAGATCGCATTGAGCGAATCTTCGAATGTCTTGAAACGATGTTTGCATCTGAAAGAAAAAAGAAAAACAAGTTACAAATAAATAAATCACGGAATAGCGTATTTAATACAATAGAAAAATTACACTAGATGTGAAAGCGGATGCTAAAAATCCTACTAAAACACAACCAAGTGATAATTCAGCACAAAAGATGCGCATGAAAACTTTTAATGCAAATTTTATTTTCGAAAAAATTAAAATATAATAAAGTAGACTGGTTAACACTATTAGACAACTATACAAAATTGTCAATACGTAATTAAATGGGCCATTCAATTGTTTTACATAGTTCCAAAGTTCATTGTGTTGTGTCATAATTACTTCTAATTCCGTTTCTAAATTAGGATGATTGATATTGACTAGTTGCATATCTTCCGATAGCTTCCGGAATAAGTTCATTAATATGATTACAAGTAAAAAAAGTAAAAACATTACATAGAATATTCCACCTGAAAGTAAATTAAGGCAAATGCCAAATTCTACGCTGCAAAACAGTGCTTCGTGCTCGTAAGTCTTTCCTTCTTCAAAAGCAGGATAAAAATAAAAAATGTTCAATGCATGACAACAAATAGATAAACTTACAGCAATAATACAGACGATAATTCTAGTATAATTAATCATGTCGTACAATTTTTTTCGATAGAAATATTCTGGCTTTGTCAATTTAAAATTCGGAGTTAATTTTACTCTTTTTATAATACTAAAAATGAGAGCGTTAGTTAAAATTATAATAACAAAATTTATTTTGACAAAGATGACGTCGTTCTCGACTAGTAAGCACAACGATTGACATGGAGTCATCTCTGACAAAACTGGTATTGTCATGGAAAACACGAGGCAGAAAAATGTCCAGTAGAAACATTCGATGAAGAATGAATGAAATTTTGTTACAATTGGGTGAACATTAATATCACTTCGGTTGCGGCAGGTACAAGGAACGAAAAAAGTATATCCGTAAACCCTTGCTACAGACGTAAACGAAGATAAAAGGCATTTCAAACATATCTCTGCTTCTGTGTTCATATTTTTTCTTTCTCTGCTATACTCATCATCTTCGGCTTTAATCTTTGCCAAAAAATTTTTCATTATTTAGTAGCACTTACGTAATTTTATAGAAATGTAATTAGAATTTTAACATTTGTGTTTCTTAGACTTTTAAAATTCAACGTCAAGGTGTTACGTGTGTCTGTAAAATGAAGACTATAACGACTAGTTATAGATGAGAATGCGATATACTCGTCTTACGATCAATTGAACGATTGTGGATTCCAAACCACAACTTCGATATATCCTTTTCGATATGTTTATATAATGCAAGGCCAATGAATGAATTTATAGAGTATTGTGTTATCATGCAAAATCTAATCATTAAAATTTTTAGGGTAGTAAACAAACGCTATTTACATTTAACCCCAACAACTAATGCTAAATTATGGCGAAATTTTAATTTCGCAATTAATCAATTAGATAATCGTATCTCATTGATCAATTTGTAAGTTTTGTGTTTTACAGATATCTTTAATAAATAACCGAGACAGTATAGTTATCAGTCTTTTACTCTAAAGACCCAGAGTACAATCCGTAAAGTAAATCTTTCGAAGTTTTAATGTTTGATCTGTTTCGTTGTGTTCTTTCTTACACCATCCGTTTTCTCTTCTTCCAAAGAAAACGTTTTCAGAGACGATTTTGAATAGAGAAGACAATAGGCCCTGTTTAGATGTAAGACAATTAAAAAAATACTAGAAAACTGCAGTTGGCCAGTCTTCGGTCAGGCGTCAATCTTCCCCCAACTACCGGTGGTTTTACCCAATCGATATACAGTATTGGGTACGAAAAAGAAAGCTTTCTAGTTCTCAGAATAGAAAAACTGATGTGTATATATGAATATATACAATAATATTTTTGCTATATTTTATATATTAGCCAGACATATTATAATTAGAAATAAATATCATAACAGCTGTTTTCTTGTCTGTTTATTGCATCGGCACTTACAACAACGTTTTTTATTGTGCCGTCTATCAGTTAAGCCATGCACATACTAAGAATAAATCGGTTGATGACAAATCGGACCCTACAGATTCGAATCCGGATCGTCAAAGTGGCAGGTAACCGCTAGGAGTTTAGAACCGTATAAGCTGCATATTTTAAAATTAAAAAAATACCCGAGAGCTTTCTTCTTTCGGGGGAAGGTCTTTCTTTTATGTTGTGACCTCTGCTCATTCGATGAGGACAGCGACGTCAAGAATCCATTTCAATGTAGATATTACGGGATAACTTTTTGAATGATCGGTTTATTAAAATGGGATTGCTACTAAATGGATTTTTTTTCAATTATGCTCATGTTTCTAATTAACAGATCATTATCTTTAACGAGATTGATCGCTTAGGGGTGGGATGAGATTTAACAACATTATTTTAAGAGTATCCGGATTCGTCAAAAGCAGAAAATTATTAAAATGTGTGATAATCAGAAATCATCGACGTAGAGATATAGAAATATTTAATATATTTTATATTTTTATAGCAATAGTTCATATATATTGAAAAGGAATTATATAAGCACAGTTTAATCTAGATTTGATTGATATTTCATTACTTATTTTTTCGCTTTTGAAGTGTATCATTTTTTATGCATTAATACTGATGATATTAACAGGCGTATGAACTAACTTATTATAATTATTTACAATTTTAATGTATTTATCATTAATTAAGAGTATGAAATAATAATTCTTGTAACGTATATGATTTTGAAAAATAATTCTTAAATATTAAACTGCAATACGATTAAATTTAAATCGAATTTTGTGTTGGCTTACATCACCATTTATGATTCTAGCGATCAATACAAGAAATAAATTCGTATTGAATAACGTAGAATGCGAGGAAATCAATATTTTACTCTGTTCCACGTACACTTAGGTTTAAAATATTTTTTGTAATTCAAATTTTTAATTGTAACAATTAAAATTATAAAGAAGCAATAATAAATCCGGTAACGTTAATAATTTATAAATACATGTATATAGTTGAATATAATTCGCGATAAAATTTCTTAAAATCAAATCCGTAACCTAAAATTGTTTATGGAGGTCACTGATGTTTGTAACGACGGAACAAGAAGACAATTTTTACTTTCATGTAAATTTTATTTATATATTTTAATGTATATACCGTCTGTCAAGATGTGGGTTATAAGAATTTTTTTTTCGTATGTTTTAAAAACTATATTCTCGAATTCTTCGATCATGCCTGACTTATCAGTCGTAGGACTCAATCGTTATACTAGCGCTTTCAAAACAGAGATCTCCCCCATCCTATGACAGAGAGAAAAAAGTTATATAACAGTCCATTGTTCGGGAAACCGAACATATCGATCCTATATTGATCCCGGTTTTGAAGACAAGTGACCCAACGCATTTACTAAATTTATCTGTTAATAAACTTTTTTAGATTCATTAAATACTAGCAGGTAAGAGCAACGTTACCTTGGCAAAAAATTAATCTAATAATCTTGATGTTTGTTGTTATTTCGTACTTCTAATATAATATTATAATATTTGGTTTATATAATTACGAAAGTTATCTTCCGTAAGGGTTTATCACATGAAATGACCAATAGAACATATAAAAATTCTTTAAATTGTGTACAGTGGAGAAATAATTTTTAAAATGTGTTAGAGTGGTCATTCGTTGTGATAAACTCTTACGTAAAATAACCTTTGTCGTTGTATAAATCAATTACTGTAATATAACAAACATTAAAACGAAAACCGTATAAAGTGTTTGGTTATTTCAGCCTATCGTTGTCAAGTTTATCGCGATACTCGGATGGTACAAAACGGGACAATTTAATCGGTCAAGAAGACACTAATTGAATATATATCTTAAATTTTAAAATATCGCAGGTTTTCCTAATGTTAACTCTAAGAAACTGTACCATTCACAGCCGAATATCAAACGATAATCTGCCAAACAATCAAATCTAGAAAAAACCAGATGAAATATTTAAACTCGACACCCTCGATAATTATTCACTTCAAACGTATTTTGTGCAGGTTGGTAACCTGGTTTTATGTAATTTTCCTATTCAAATGCGACTATACTGTTGGTTTGACAGAAAAAAAGGCGTCTTACGGAAAGGGAGTTGAAGTAATTCGACAGAAAGCAGTCACTGGATTGTCAACGAATATTAATTGCTACCGGTCTACTATTAATATTTAAAAAATTATCTTGGTTAGACAGGTTGTGATGGCTCCCGTAAGTGATCGAAGTTGCTAACTTTAAGTCCGAAAGACTTCGCATGACTTGTTTAAATAAAAAAAGTCTTGTAATAATGCAAGAATAATTGCTTTAAGTGATAATAAAGAGTTTATATTTTTGCAACAGTTTGTATGAACTATGTGAAGAAATGTTCTCGTAAATAGAAAAAAATTATTAGACTGCAATACTCGGTTTGGCCTTATGCTCATAAGCTTTATTAGCATAAAGCCCAGATTAACTTTATATTTCAATTCAACATTTTCGCTTAAAACAGTTATATCGACATGACTCAATTGATAACAGGAAATGTATGATGTATGTACAGGGCTATAACAATTAAGAACGTTGTGACGAGAAATTGCAGCCCGGCATTGTGACGATGTCGGGCCAGCAGTTTCCGATCGCTTCTGAAAATGAGTTACGTATGTTTGGGGCGGGTAACATATTTGCGATAGCGTCCGAAACGTTACAGAAGTTGTTAGTAGTTTCAAAGTACAGTATAAAAATAGCGTTACATAATTTATAGGCGACGCCTCGATCGCATATTTCGTCCGCTTAATATTATCTTTCGCTTATTATTATCAACCACACACGTAAGAACCGTCAATGCCACTTGCCTAAGTGTGGTTGCGCAACATTGGTCTGCCTTAATATCATAAATATATATATTTCAACACTGATATTGATGTTATTAAATTTTAAACCCCAATTTAAACATTTTTAATCTAACAAAATTGGACCTGAATAAGCCTTGAGCCCCGAAAAACTTAAATGCGTCTCTGACTATAGCTGGTGAAATGTTGACGTCTGACCAAGGGCTGACAAATTTACCTTTCCAATATTTTTTACTTGTCTAATACCGAAACTTGTTTTTCATTGAAAATCCTCTCTGAAAAAGTGTTTTCATTATATTCCGTTATTCTATCATCCAAATAAACTATATAGTGTATTATATCTTTTTCACAATTTACTTGTCGAGATTTTATTTTGGGTCCATACAGTAAAAGGCTGAAGTCTTCACCGTCTCGACTATTATTAAAATATATTTAAAACACAAAACTAACCAATTCAAAAATGAGACAAAATTATCGTCAATGACAAATACAGTATTGACATCAATTACGAAATTAAAATTTTATTATAACTTAATATCATTTGTAGTGGTTAAACGTAAATAGATTTTGCTCAGTATTCTATAATTTTTAATGCTCAGATTCCGTGTGAAAACACAATATACTATGTATTAATATATTCATTGCATTGTCGCTTTATTAGAGAGGTTGAGGCGCACGTTTTAAACGTGTAAACGTGTACGTGTGACGTTCGGCGCCGCTTTCCCGTAAGCCTAAAAGTTTGACGATGGTGTTTGGAATGTCGAGCGTGATTCCACCGACTATCCAAACACCATTGTCAAACTTTTAGGCTTACGGGAAAGCGGCGCCNAATCTTTTCATAAAATTCACAATCTGTACAAAATTTTTAAAATTATTTTATGCAAATTAAAAGTAATGCTAACTTATTTTATAACAAAAGTTTTACTTTTAATTTCTGTTCCAATTTCAAATCGCATTGAGCGAATCTTCGAATGTCTTGAAACGATGTTTGCATCTGAAAGAAAAAAAAAAACATGGTACAAATGAATAAAACATCAAATTGCGCATTTAATACAATAAAAAAGTTACAGTAGATGTGAAAGCGGATGCTAAAAATCCTACTAAAACACATGTAAATAATATTGCAGCATAAGTTATGCACACGTAAAGTGTTAATGCAAATTCCATTTTCGAAAAAGTCAAAATATAATTAAGTAAACTGGTTTCCGCTATTAGAGAACCGTACAAAATTGTCAATACATAATTAAATGGACCATTCAATTGTTTCACATAATTCCAAAGTTCATTGTGTTGTGTCATAATTACTTCTAATTCCGTTTCCAAATTCGGATGATACATTTTTAGTAGTTGCAGATCTTCCGATAGCTTCTGGAAAATGTTGATTAATATCATTACAAGCAAAAAAAGTAAAAACATTAGATACAATATTCCACCTGCAATTAAATTAAGGTAAATACCAATTTCTACGCTGCAAAAAAGTGCTTCGTGCTCGTAAGTCTTTTCTTTTTCTATAGCAGGATAAAGATAAAAAATGTTCAATGCTATACCGCAGATAGTAAAAGTCACAAGTAGAAAAATAACGAAAATTCTAGTGTAATTAATCACGTTGTGCAATTTTTTTCGACCGAAATATTCTGACTTCATCAATTTAATATTTGTGGTTAATTTTACTCTCTTTATAATACTAAAAGTGAGTGCGTAAGTTAAAGCTAAATTAACAATAAGCATTTTGACGAATATGACGTCGACCTCGACTAGTAAGTGCCACAGTTTACATGGAATCATCTCTGACAAAACCGGTATTATCATGGAAAACACCATAAGAAAATGTATCCAGTAGAAACATTCGATGAAGAATGAATAAAATGTTGTTACAATTGAGTGAACGTTAACATCATTACTGTTGTGGCAGAAACAAGGAACGAAAAAAGTATATCCGTAAACTTTTGCTATAGACGTAAATGAAGATAAAACGCATTTCAAACATATTTCTGTATATGCGTTTATAATGTTTCTTTTTCTTCTACATTCTTTTCGGGCTTCAATTCTTGCCAAAAAATTTTCCATTATTTCGTAACACTTACATAATTTCATAGAAAAGTAATTAGAAATTTCAATTCTTTCGTTCCTTAGATTGTTAAAATCTAGCGTCTGTAAAATAAAAAATTATAAAAACACAGATAAAAATGGAATATTCTCGTGTTACAATTGATTGAAATATTGTGGATTCCAAACCTGAATTTTGATTTGTCCTTCGCCGTCGTTACCGTTTATATAATCCAACGACAATGCATTGAATATATTAATACATAGTATATTGTGTTTTCACACGGAATCTGAGCATTAAAAATTTTAGAATACTCAACAAAACCTATTCACGTTTATTTACAACTGATGCTAAATTATAATGAAATTTTAATTTTGTAATTGATAAATTATATGTTTATATCTCATTTAAAAATTCGTTAGTTTTGTGTTATAAATATCTTTCAATGATAGTCCAGACGGTGAAGTCTTCAGCGTTTTACTCTATTGACCCAAAATTGAATCCGGACAAGTAAATTACTGTATGGACCCAGAATAAAATGCTGAAAAGTAAATACTCAGAAAGATTTAATGTGTGGTTTGTTTCGAATACGTTGGATTTTGTCTTTCACCATTCGGTCGCTTTACTTGTATAATATATATTCACGATAGTTACTCATTAGATAGTTATAAAAGTTGGATGATAGAATAAAGCAATATAATGAATGGGCTTTCTGCAAAAGAAAACTTTTTCAGAAAGGATTTTGAAAAACAAGTTTCGGTGTTAGATAAATGAAAAAATACTGAAAAAGTAAATTGGCCAGTTCTTGGTCAGGCGTCAACTTTCTACCATTACAGTCAGAGACGAATTTAAGTTGTTCGGGATCTAGGGCTTATTGAAGTTCAACTAGCCCTAAATTTTGTTAGATTAAGAATCTTTGAATTAGAGTTTAATATTCATTTTAATAAAATTAAAATCACAGTTGAAATATATATATATTTATTAAATTAATCGAATTAATAAAAACGTATTAAAATTTTATGATAATAAATCAAGTTTTGTCTGCGCTTGACAGTTGGGGCTCAGGGCTAAAGCTATATTAGTCCCTATGTAGATCCACCCCAGACTAGAGTGATCGGTGGTTTTGCCCCATAGGTCACCGATATAATGGGTGTGAAAAAAAGACCACCTCAGTTCATATAAGAAAAAAATCAAATGTGTATATATGTGTATATATAAATATATCTAATAATATTTTTTTATCTGATTCTATGTCACGACTTGGTGCATTTATAGACACTTGGCAAATAATTCCATCACGTACATTTACTTCTTACAGAAACGCGTTTCGGGCTTTCGCCCCTCTTCAGTCTGTTACGTCGATAGTTGTGACTTGTGTGTCCGTACTTCCCGCTCCCTTCCCCTCCCCTCTTTTCCCGACTTGACGGACTCCCCCGCATGCCTCGTAATTTGTAACATTACCCTTCTCCGAGTGTTGCACACAGCCTCGCCTGCGACTGTATAAACATTCTATTTTATTTTAATAATTGAAGCCAGTTTTTATGGATGTCGATGCTAAGGTTCTTGTTAATATTATTTTTGTCTATAGTAATTTCGTANGAGTAAACATGTTGATGAGAAATTGAACCCGGCAAAAGACGGGTACAGACGACATCCCAAATATTGCTAAACTTGTTTGCTTCAATTCGAATCTGAATCGTCGACAGTGTAGGTAAATCGCAGTTTAGAATCTTAGGGACTGTATATTTCATTATTGAAGTAATACCCGAGGGCCTTTCGGAACGTTTTTCTTTAATGTTGTGACCTCTGCTCATTACATGAAGGCAACAACGATCAGAATTTATTTCAATATAAGCATTAGGCTCAAACTTCTTGATTGATCGATTTTTTAAACTGCGCTATCCCATTGCTAATAAATGGATTGTGTCAATTGTGATTATGTTTATAATTAACAGACAATTATCGTTAATGACATTGATCGGTCAGAGCTGGCATGAGATCCAACAACANAAGAGTAAACATGTTGATGAGAAATTGAACCCGGCAAAAGACGGGTACAGACGACATCCCAAATATTGCTAAACTTGTTTGCTTCAATTCGAATCTGAATCGTCGACAGTGTAGGTAAATCGCAGTTTAGAATCTTAGGGACTTTATATTTCATTATTGAAGTAATACCCGAGGGCCTTTCGGATCGTTTTTCTTTAATGTTGTGACGTCTGCTCATTACATGAAGGCAACGACGATCAGAATTTATTTCAATATAAGCATTAGGCTCAAACTTCTTGATTGATCGATTTTTTAAATTGTGCTATCCCATTGCTAATAAATGGATTGTGTCAATTGTGATTATGTTTATAATTAACAGACAATTATCGTTAATGACATTGATCGGTCAGAGCTGGCATGAGATCCAACAACATTATTTCAAAAGTACATAATAGGCCGGATTTATCAAGAACAGAAATTTATTAAAATATATGATAATCAGAAATTATTGACGTAGAGATACAATAAAATTTGATATACAGTATTTTATATTTTTATAGCAATAGTTCATATATATTAAAAAGGAATAATTTGATGAGTGTTATCTTCAATCTAAATTTGATTGATATTTCTTTATATTTTTTTCCCTTTAAGGTATTAATACCTATTATATTAATACGCGTATGAACTAACATATTATTATTATTTACAATTTTAATATATTTCTAATTAATTAAGAATACGAAATAATAATTGTTGTGTAACACGTAACGAATAAGATATAAAAAATCGTTAAATATTAAACAGCAATACGATTACATTTAAGTCTAATTCTGTGTTGGCTTACGTCAATATATCATGTTTCATGCATTTAGCGATTAATGCATAAAATAAATTCATATTTAATAACGACGAATGGGAAGAAATCGATATTTTATTCTGTTCCATGTACATTTGAATTTAATATATTTATTTTAAAATTTAAATTCTGAATTATACTATTGTAATTAAATTATTGAAAACAGAAGTAAATAAGGTTAACTTTAAGAATATATAAATAGATATATATAGTTAAATTATGAATTTTAATGCCGTATTTAAACAGTAATATTAATATTTTGGGAAAACATTATACAAAGACAATTTCAATTTTGAGTGTGAGAGCAAGATAATGTGATGATAAATATGAAGTCATAATGCTTAAAATAAAGTTTTTCGTGGAAATTTAATACACTGCATCAAATTTTATCGAACTGGTATACAGCGTATCTTTCTGAATAATTTATATCGTTAAATTTAAAAATTATGTAAAACGCAAATACTCTTTTCTAATTATAATTTCATAGAAATTAAAATTAAATAATTTTTAATTCCTAGATTTCAAATTGAGTTGCCATTATTTATTGATTAGAAATGTAATAAATGTGATTGTTACATTACCAAAACATGTTTCGTATTCCAATAACGAACAGTTGATTAATTAAAATAAAGTTGTGTTATCATACGACAATGAAGAAGACTTAATGTTGATCTTAGAATTTGCTCAAGCGTTTATTTTATATGGCGTCAACATTCTTCTGTAATTGGTCAAATTTCAAAATTTTCTTTCGGGCTTAAGGTTTTTCTCCAGCTGTATGGGCTCAACAGAAACTAATCATTAAGATATATAAATAAAATTCACACGAAGCTACAAAATTGTCTTCTTTTTTCGTCGTTACAAACACCAGCGACTTCCAAAACCAATTTTCTATTACAAAGACGATCGTTTATTTTTTCAGTCAAGCGTGACGAAATATTTTTATGAGGAAGTAGAAATTAAAAATTCAGAAGAGCTTTGAGTAGAACCTCGCGTTGTGATTGCTATTTCTTCATCCATTGACAAAGTGATTCTTACTCGATGTTGCCCAAGTTGGACTTGAAGGCCTTCAGAGTTCTTGGCTGTTCCTATTCTTTTAGATCTAGAATTTACCTGACCAACTTTACTTTTATGCTCATCCCGAGGCATTTTTATTACACAAAATAGCGAGGAGTTTTAATTTCACGATGATAAAACAAAGATGAATTGTACGTGTAATAATTAGATAAGAGATAACACATTCGCACACGCACATGCACATGCACTAACGTCCTACATGCAGAAATAACCCCCGAATTTTTTTGGATTTCTCGACGTTTTAAGGTGTTCTAACTCCAAACATGTGAAAATCATAGAGGGGAGTCATTTATTCACCTATCATCATACTTTCTTTCTCTTATATATAAGAGCCAGAAAAGTAAAAATGCGATAATGTTTAAAACGGAATTCTAACTCGTATTATTATATGATGTAATTATCACTAAAATAAAATATGAATTAACTTAAAAGTTATTCTTTCACTCTAAAAATGCTTCTGAAAATTTTTCCTGGCTAAGAACTTCTACAATTCCAAAGTTATGTCATAACTGTAAAGAAGAAATCATAATACAGTTCAAACATGTAGTGGAATACATACCCGTTAAGTAGAGATCCCCGCTATTCGGGACATTATCGAACAGCGGACACCTCTACTTAACATTATATTTACTTCTAAATAGCATACACTCTAACTAACTTATCTGTCGTCCAGAATCAACCTTATGAGAACGTAAAGTCACGCCTTTAATATGCTGAAAAAATTAATTACGTACGAAATATTTTAAAACTAAAAGAATTGGTTCAAATACTCTTTTACAGGACGAATTTCCACCGTAGGCGTCGAATAAAGACGATAAAAGTAGGAATGAAGGGATAGAGCAAGTTGTAAAAAGACTAACAATACTCTTTATCTGTTAGAAAACACATCTGGTTAAGTCCTCAATCGTTATTTATCGTCATATTCATTAATGCTATTGTTGGAATTAAGCTTACGGTACCAAGAAACCATAAATGTTTCCTGAGTTATTCATTCATTCGCCAACAACCGTACTACAGTAATAATGTAAAAGAAACTTAAAACGGTCACCACAACAACGTTTATTGTGGTGAAAGTTCAAAGGTCGTGTTACGAAGATTTGCCGGCCACTTTGAAGTGAGAGGAAATACTTGATATTTTGGCATTTATGACGTTATTTCAGACGTTAACAGCTTTGTGGTAGCTTAGGTGTAATTTATTTATAAATTATTTTTTGAAAAACAGAAAAGAATTCGAAAAA